GATATGTTCAGTTTTAATTGTATTAGGGTCAGAAGGTAGATAGAAAAGTTTAAAGATATAGTCATTGAGGAGTTTTTTAAAGCCATACTGTGGCTAAAGAAGATTTACAAATTTTTTGATATCTTTTGTGTCTTTTGGTTTGCATGGAAATAGATAACGAAGGTTGTGAAGTAGCTGTTGGGGTGTGAGTAGGAGTAGTAGTTTAGGATCTAGTAGTTGGAAGTAATTGGGTAGTATTTTGTCAACATTGTATAATTTTTCAAGTTTTTTTAGTATTCAAACAGGTAGGGAAGTACAAAGTGGTCAGTAATAAGAAACAGGTTTTTATCAGTAGGGTGGTATTCGGTGAGGTTACTAGGAATTTCTAGCCTTGCCTTCAGAAAATATTTGTCTAGTAGTTTTTCAAATCTGTATATTTTTCTTAATGCTGCTGTGATTGCTTATGTGTGCTTTGTTTCTTTTATAGGTAGTTCGAAAGGTAAGTTTGATATGATATAGTCAGGAATTTCATTAGGTGTGGCCAGGAAGGAGTCGAGGCACTTTGCATTTACCATTCATATAAGTTTTCAAAGGTCTTCAAAGCTTGTAAATATATTAATTTTGGCAAAGTTGGTGTAGTAATAAATCTTTTAGACAATGTCATATGGGTTGGTCTTTACAAAATTAATATTGATAATATAATCGATTACTAGTTTAATTTTGAGTTTTTGCATTATTTGATTTCTATTATTTTTGTTAATAAATTGGATGTTATGTTGGCATTTATATTTCTCAAAAGCCATGTTGTATACGGTTTCAAATTTCTTTTGATGAGAGAGAGTGGTTTGCTTGTTGCAGGTAAATGATTTAAAGAATGCTATATCAAGATAGTTAAATTTAACTTGTATTACTATAGGTAGATTCAAACAAGTAGGTTGTCTAGTGGCTTTGTGACTGAGAAAGGTTTGTAATTGGGTTTCGTCTTTGAGTGCATTGAGTATAGTTTCAGTATTCTACAGATTTGTATCGAAGGGTTGGCTTCGACTAGCCATTGTTTGGACAACTTGGATACTTTATAATATTGAAAGTTTGGAAGTAAGAATCTTCATTGTAGATAATTGGGATTGGAGTACTTGGCTATAGGTCTAGAGTGGGTTTGGTGATAGTCAGATGGTTGACTCAGTATGCTAGATTCTTTGAATGTGATCTAGATCTGGTGTGGGGTCCTGATTTTGTGCTGGGGCTAGGTCTATTTGGGGTGCTGTTTCTGAAACAGGTTTGTTTTGATTAAGTGGTGGAAATATTTTTATCAAATTAGGGTTTGTTGGTGCAGAGTCTGGCAAATCTGGATTTGTTGTTTTGTTGTTTTGGTTAGATAATATCATGTGACTATTGTTGTGTTGTGAGTGATTGGCAGAATGAAGGTAAGCTGTTTTACCTACTTTTTGAGTGAGTATAGAGTGCTGGGCAAAGGTTGGCATGACAAGTTTTAGAAGAGCTATATCTTTTTGTTGTATTAGGTGTTGGTTGTAAGATTATTGCGGGTAGATTTTCTGGGTCATGGGTTGTATCTATTTGAGTAGTGCTGAAGATTGATTCTGTAAACGATTAGAGAATTGATTTTCTCTGTAACATCATAGTAGGTGATTCTACAAGGAGTGCAGAAGATGTATTGTGGAACTTGTTGGTTTCTTTTAAGTCCTTTATATTGTTTGCTGAGTTGTTTCTCATATTTAAAACTTTGTGCTGGATAGTAGTTATAATATCTAATACTTGGGTTTACTAAACTTTCTTTATTTGTTTGTTTATTTTTTTAAATTTTTAATGATTTGCAGATTTACAGGAAAGAGTTCAAAAATCAGTTATTATGATACAAGATATTAATTTAAAACATTACTAGTAAAATTTAAACTCTGTATTTTTTAATTATATAAAGCTTGAGAAGTAATAACCAACTAATTATACTAGATCACTATACCTATTAAATATCAATTTTTAAACTATTATAAACTTTAACTTCTTATAACTTTTATAAAACAAATAATAAAAAAAATTATTTAACAAAAAAATAGTTTAGATTATAAATTAGTACCAAAACTATTATGTTATATCAAAATTATATTTTGACAAATTATTATATTTTTATTAATGATTTTATTATAAAATTATAAATTATGATATAGCATAACTTATCTTGGCACAAATTATTAGTTTAACTAAAAATTTATCAATTTTTTAAATTTATTTTGTTTTAAAAAAGTTATAATAATTTAAAGTTTTGGGAAGAGACTGGTCTCCCCATTTAGAAGATACCTGAGTAAAGTTGGTGTCTAGAAGGAGTTTCTAATGATAAAGTGATGTCTTACAATTGAGATATATTAATTAGTTGCAATTATTATATAATTTTTTAGCCTTGCACAGGTTATAATAGTGCTTTTTTTTGGTGTGTTGTTTGTCATGACCACACTATTCCTTTTTTTGCTTTTTTTATCTTCTTCCATTTATGATAGAATTTTTTTTAGAAATTTAGTTTTTTTTTTTTCTTGTTTTGTGTCTTCTCCTAAACTTGTTTTTTTCTTTCGTAAAATATGGTATTTATCTTTTCCCTTATATATAAATAAGAGATTATATATTCTGCCCGGATTTAGATGGAAAAAGTTTAAAGAAAGGATAGGTGGTCATGACGCATGGCAGGAAGCATCCTTTTAATATGGTATTTGATTTCAAGTTCAGAAGTAGATACCAAGGAGGGAAACTTCTGCTATAGCAGGTCAAACATAGGTACCTAGTGGGCAACCAGGTTAGTCTTAACTTGTAATTTAGGTATAGTTGGTGGCTTTCGGGTGCGGCACTTGTCATTTAGAGATAGTTCTCATATGCTATCTGCTGACAAGTTCAGAGTTTATTACTCACTGATAAGTCTCTCTAAAATTTTAATAGTCTAGAGAATTATTCCTGAAATAAATAACAACCGGATCAGCTGAAAAATCATTCGGCAAATTTTTACAGGTGACCCAGGAATTATGATAATAGCTATAAATACCTGTTCCTATGTTTTATTCGGCTAATAAGCCTCAACCGATAAACTAGTATTTCGTTGTCAAGATTTTCTCTATCACAGGATTTTGCTGCGCCCGATTTCATAGATCTACTTTTAGCTCGTGACAATCAATATCAATTATTTTATCACCGCATCATTTAAAGAGTTTAATATTATTATATTCTCGACTGAATTATCTGTTTTTTTATCTCTTTTATATCTCTTTATGTGTACTATTGAACATAACATCTGATTAACTTCTTATTCAACTGCTATCGTTATTGTTATTCAATCAACCCTTCCTTCATAAGCAGTGTTGGGATCAGATGATCATCCGTTCCCAAAGTGGCTATGCGGATATTATTGGATTCCCTTATGTCAAGAAAATGAAATACAAAAATTAGCTCGGAGCCAATAAAAATTGCAGAATCTTGCAGATCTTGCAGATCTTAACGTAAATCTAAACAAACGCTAAAAATAAAGAAATCATAAATAAAGCAAAATTTTACTATGGAAACCGGCCTTAATTTCTAAGTAAAAAATGCGTAGCATTGAATTTTACTTATAGAAAGAGTTTTTTATACTAAAATAAACAATATATGGATATAATATTATCAAAATTGGGTGTTATATCAGATGTAGATCATTTTCTTGACATAAGGAAACTCGATATGATCCTGATATTCGTTATTAAACATCCGTATCAAAAAATAGTCATCCGGATATCGTAGATATTACAAATATCTGAATATTAGTCAAATCAATCCAGAGATATTTAAATACAAATCCATAAAATGCTGTATCTGGTTTATTTTAAAACTACAATATATATTAAAATTCAATTTTATGTGATGAAATCTAAATATACTAATGATAAAACGTTTAGTCGGCATCACTAATAAAATAACTAAGGAATTCAAAATGGTATTTTTGCTAATAGCCTTTGCTAATGTTTTCGTTCTTTTTCCAATTAAATCACTTACAATAAAAATTTAAAGAAATAATAAATATTTAAACATTGTACCTGTCCTTAGAAATATTGTAATTAATGAAAATTTAACAGCGTTTCAAACTCATCGTAATCATAATCAAGTTTATGAATACTTTAATGATTTTCATTAAGCCAATTTACGACTTCATCATTCAAATGCCAGCCAACGGATTTAATAATGGCTTTTGAAAATTTAATTCTAAAAGACATGGGGCCTTTGCAGTAGAAAGATATAAATTTGAGATAATCATGTTTATCTTTTTCGGACTGATCCGGGTTCATCAAAAATTTTGTGATATGATTGGTTAGTTATATCGGGTAATCTCGTGATTTACGAGTCTTCTAAAAAGATTTTTTTTTAATATCTCAATTTTTTATTATGTAAACCAATTTCCATTTATAATTGAAAAATGTAGCCTGATTTGAAATTTATTTGAATCTTGAAAAAACTCATTTTTAATTTTTGGGAGTTTGGGCCCTTTCTATTGCAAAGGCCCCACATGTTCTTTACTGTGAGTATAAATTGTCAGTCGATTCATTCCATAATATTAGTACAATAATTCTACAGTGATGATTTACATGAAGGCATAAAATAAGAGTTTATAATTTGTCCAAAAGTTGATAAATATTTCGAAAAGATATCCATTATGTAATATAAATCTTCGCTACCAATGTGATGAGGACTAAGTGTTTATGATTGATTCTAGATCATTTTATAAGATCATTAGTATTTTTGAATTTTTTTTTAAAAAAATCTGGATTGCCGGATCATAAATTTTAATTTTATATTATGAAAACCAAGAAATTAACTTTACATGTTCTACTTAAATAAATCATTATAATTTTAAAAATTATTATTTACTAAATACTAAATAAAGTAGAAATCAATTTAAAATTGCATCAAAATTTTAGATCAATTTAAAATTTCACTCACTTTGATTTTCAAAGTATAGTAAGATTTTTGGGCTGTTTTAATGTGTAACACCCATATTATAAATTAACAGAATAAACAATATCACAACCTATCGGCTCGTAACCATTCTCAATATAAGCCCAAATATAGTAGGGTATTGAATTTTCTGATGCAAAATTTGGTGGTACTGTAACATTGACTGTTATATTAAAGGGATTGCCAGCTTTAGTTTGATTAACAGGAGTTGTAGAGTAAACACCTAGGGGAACACAGTCTTCATATTTAAATCCAATAATAAGCATTCCGTTCTCTTTAATATCCTGTTCTAAAGTTCCAGAAACATTAATAGTGGCATTTTTTTTAGGAACTGGTGGGTCAGGTGAAACTGTTGCATTGAAACTAGGGATAATAGGACAGGGATAGTCTCTTTTCTTGAGAAAGATAGCATTGGTAACGGAGAGCGCAACTAATAAAATAAATACAAAAGTAAATTTTTGGTTCATTATTTTTTGTATATATGATGTTTGGCTAGGATGATTTATTTTTAATTATTGAGAAATTATTTCTTAATTGTTGAAGAATTGATTTTTTCATTACCATTTTATAAGAATTTTCACCTGAAAAATTATAAATACACTACGTATATACTGTCGATACTACTGAATAATCCGGATCCGACGGATTCAGATTATCATCCAATCCGAACCGTAAAATCGGGTTTGGGCCAAAAGTTTCGGATTGCCCGGATTAAGCCTAATTGAGATTTGGGTCCAGTTTTTCTTTCACATTGCACTAATATATAAATTAGGTAACTGCGCGACTATTTTTACTATAGAGGTTTATTATTAACCCTTTTGTTTTGTAAATTGTGAAGAGTAGTTTTTTAATCGTAATTACAAAAATTTTTGAGCGCATCAAGTTATCATGGATCATAATGAAAGAGCTTAATTAAGTCATATAAACCAGAAAGAAATCTTCATATAACCTATATCGAAAGGATGCTATATACACTTCACTATCACGTTAAGGTTAATAGCTCCATAATTAAAAGTTCTTCGTTATATCGAATTTCACCATAACGAGAATTTACTATAACGAGAGTGAATTGTATTTTAATTGATTTCGTATTGATGAAATTTAAATTCTATTAGGATTTTTAATCACGAATTTAAACTGTTATAAAATACTGTATTCGACATCCTGTAATTTCATAATACCAAAAATTTCTAATATTTTTCAATTAAAAACATGATTGATTTTTGATGACGAGTTTAAGGCTGATCGCTTAATTCATATTAAAATTCCCTAAAATTGTCATTATTAATCCTTCCTATAATTAATAAAAACTTTCAAAATGCATGTAAATTTGTTACTACCTTCATTATAGTAGATTATTTAAAATTCAAAAATCTTATTGTCTATCTTCAGTTTTGGTTTCACCTCGACAACGTATCAGTATTGGCCGGTAACCAAATGATATATATATATTTTTGACATGACTTAGATCGCAATCACTTATTGAAATTTTTATAATGAATAAATGCCTCCTTTTATTATTATTTTTTTTTAAACCCTAACCTCTTATGTATTAGAATTAATATTCTTATGATTTACATACAGTACTTACAGTACGTTGATATGGTTTGTTTGTGTGTTAGGCTATGTAGGCTATGTAGGCTATGTAAGATTGAAGTGGTAGCCACAAAACCTCCTGGAAGATCGTATTTTATAAAATTTAAAAGTATAAAGTTCCAGTTGCAAGTAAAAAGTGTTTAAGAGCTTCTCGATTAAATAATAAGTAGTGTAGTAATAACAATATGCCTTTCGTTAATCTCCCACTATTGTTGACAATTGAGTTCCGCTACCAATTTTAATCCAAGCTAATGGCTGGAGCTAAATTGTGTATTATCTACCAAACAGTTGTAACATCATGTCATATATTACTGTACTAGGTTTAGAAATTATCATTATAGTTAGAGATGGGCAAGGTAATTACTTATTACGTAAAAAGTCACATCACACAATGCGACGATTCTCCAATGATATATACTTGCAATTAATAACATGCTAAATCGACACGTTATGTGAAATGACTTTTTACGCAATAAGTCATTACCTTGCCCATCTCTAATTATAGTATATTAATGGTATAATTTTTAAAATATGTATAGCAAATAGTATTTACACTCTTAACATACTATTTTGGTCATCCAGGGACGCGGTGGGGTGTTTGGTCGGCTAATTAAATCAAATCTATTTGTGACCCATAGTAGATTTGTATAGTGAATTTTTTTAAATAATACAATCGGCTGATTTATTATGTACGTATTGTTTAATAATCTATTCACCCATAATTAATTGTGGTGGTGAAGGCCTGAACCAATCAAATAGCGTATATAAACGTGTGTTTTTCAGGTTATTAGTATGGCACTTACATATTCGAAAATTTTTGCTATGTAATTCTTAAAATTGCATCTCGTCGACGAATATTCAGAATTTTAAAAAAGTAAATATATTAATCTATGCATTGCCATTAGTACTTTAAATTCTTGTGTCAAAATTTTAATATTTAAGTTATTAAGCGAGTTATTTACAAATTAGCTCTTTTAGATTATATAAATATATATAAAAAAATTAAAATTTTAAATACTAAAATAAAATCCTCACGACAAGTTAAAAAGCGCACTTTTTGAATCTGTTTTATATTAATTTTAAGTTCGAAGAATTAATACCGCGAGAGGAGTTAGATTTCAAAAATCTATCACTTTCGTATAATAGATTAAAAAAATTGACTAATTGTTTTTACTATGGGTCTATATCGATATTTGTTACAATTAGTTGATCAATCACCCCATTGCCCACACCATACTAATATGTGTAAATTACAATATCATAATTCGACACATAGACTGTTCTTTTTTATGTATTTAAAATGTGGACAAAATCGGCAAAACTAAAAAAAAAAAGATCAACAGACGAATAGATTACAGAATCTAAAATTGGCTAAGAATCACATAGATTAAATATCGCTGTATGTCTTAACGTTTGATCAATTAGGTCCGTAAATTGAACCTAAACTGTTATTGGATTGAAAGCTAAAAATTATTAGTTTCGAAGACCGTCCTATCATTATAAATTAGTCACGATTAATTTTCACATGTTTTTAATTATTTTTATTAATTAATTTTATTATGATATTACAATCTCAATCCTTGAGCGTGTTTAACAGGTGACAAATCACGATGAACTTAACTGACTAATAAGATTCGCTTTATTCCGGACACACGCTTAAAATTTCACAAAAATAGATTCCATAATTATTCATCGATTATTTTATCGCCGTAACATTTAAAGGTTTAATATTATTATATTCTTGACTGAATCATCTGCTTTATATCTCTTTTATATCTCTTTATGTGTACTATTGAACAATGCATTTGGTTAACTTCTTATTCAACTGCTATCGTTATTGTTATTCAGTCAACCCTTCCTTTATAAGCAGTGTGTTGGGATCCGTTCCAAAAGTGGCTATCCGGATATGATATCCATGCCTAGAACGACTATCCTGATACTGTAGTTTATAATGATTTCAAATCTGATAACCTCTCAATACCGATACAAAATCTGTCCACCATGCGTACCGAGTTTGGGAGGTTCAACAATATTTTGAAAAGACATCCATTATGTAATAGAAATCTTCGCTACCAATGTGAAGAGAACTAATGGTTATGATTGATTTTAGATCATTTTATAAAATCATTAATATTTTTTAAATTTTTTTTTTAAAAAAATCCGGGTTGCCGAATTATAAATTTTATTTTATATTATGAAAACCAAGGAATAACTTTACATGGTCTACTTTATTAATTCATTATAATTTTAAAATTTATTATCTATTAAATACTAAATCAATTTTAAAATTGCTTCAAAATTTTAGATTTCATTCCTATTTAAATATATTATTTGCAAAACTATGTATAATGAATGAGTAAAAAAAGCTTCTTTTGATTTCCAAAGTAAATTATTAGAATCTATTTAGGCGATTCAGAATATAGTAAGTGTTTGGTTAGTAACTTAAATAATTACACAACCTATTGGTACATAATCATTCTCAATATAAGCAGTAATAAAGTAGGCTTTTGAATTTCCTGATCCAAAATTTGGTGGTACCGTAACTTTGGTTGTTACATTAAAGGGATTGCCAGCCTTAGTTTGATGAATAGAAATTTTTGGGTAAACACCTAGGGGAATACAGCCAGCATATTTAAATTCAATAATAAGTATTCCGTTCTCCTTAATATCCTGTTTTAAAGTTCCAGAAACGTTAATGGTAGCAATTTGTCCAGGAACTGGTGGGTTAGGTGAAATTGTTGCATTGAAAATAGGGACCTTAAAACAGCCAGAGATTCTTTTCTTGAGAGAGATAGCATTGGTAACGGAGAGCGCAAATAATAAAATAAATACAAAAGTAAATTTTTGGTTCATTATTTTTTTATATATATAATGTTTAGTTAGGTTGATTTATTTTTAATTATTGAAGAATTGATTTTCATTACCTTTTTATAAGAATTTTCATCTGAAAATTATATCATCCAATCCGAAAAGTTTCATATTGCCCGGATTAAGCCTAATTTTGAGATTTGGGTCCCTTTCTATCACATTGCACGACGTAGTCGCACTGAAACCATGAACGGGGGATATGTAAAAATATTTTTGAATATAGAGTTTCATTATTAAACCTTTTTTTTTTTGTAAATCGTAAAGAGTAGTTTTAATCGTAATTACAAATATTTTTGGGCACATCAAGTTATCATGATCATAATTAATGAAATTTTCATATAACCTATGTCGAAAGGATGCTCACTTCACTACATCACGTTAAAGTTAATAGTTCCATAATTAAAAGTTCGAATTTCACCATATCAAGAATTTACTATAACGAAAGTGAATTGTATTTAAACTGATTTCGAATTGATGAAATTTAAATTCTATTAGGATTTTTAATCACGAATTTGAACTGTTATAAAAAGATTCGACATCCTGTAATTTCATAATACAGTATAACCTGTCAAAACCGATACTGTCAAAACCGATAACCTGTCAAAACTGATAAAAAATTGATCCACCATCTCTTAATTAAATATAGTAATTTTACCCTTCAAACCTGATAACCTG